TTGGGATTTGGGATTTGGGATTTCGGCATTTGGGATTTCGGCATTTGGATTTTGAATTTGGGTGGCAGGTATATCTTGAAGGACATATGACAGTTCTTGAGAATGCAAATGCAGGGGATTTTAACGATATAGTCAAGTGTAATATTTTAAAATCTATGATAGGTGAAAAATATGCTCCAGTATCATTTCAAAATAATTTTGTAAATCCTGCAGTTAATATCAATAGTCCAGATACATTACGAGATTGGTTAAGAGCAAAATACTAGCGGGATACCATTGGAAATCAACAATTAGCTATTCAAAGATTGACTCAGGAAAAATATCAGCCCTATGACACTCCAGATACCTATGAAGCTAGAATTCGACCATTAATAATAAGAGTAGCAGACAATGATGTACAAGTTTTAGGATTCCTAAAAAGCCATTTGACAGGTGATTTTTATACTTGGATGAGAATTGCTAATCCAACAGGCATTAATGAGTTTTTCACCGAACTAAAAAACATGTGGTGGAGCGCGCACCAAATTTGAATGGTCAAGTTTATCAACAATCTTCTTATAACACCAAAATAATAGAAGTTCCTATACCCGATACACAAAAAATGATTGATGAGGCATTAGCGAAACAAAAATCCAATTATGATGCTGAGATAGAAAAATTGAGAAAGGAAGTTCAATCCTCCAAAGCGCAGAAAACACAGGCACCAGTTCCACAAACCGTTGAACCGGTTAGACAACCAAGAGGCCCCCCATCAAATTTAAAAACGGAAGAAGATTATGGAAAATATTATTTATCTAAATTCCTTAATGATTTAGGTATATATAGTAAAGAAGATTTAGATTTAAATTATACTGAAAAACCTTTTCAAAGAACAAACCAATTCACTAGAATGGATAGAATAGAATCAAAAGTAGACGAAATTGGACAAATGACATCTCAATTTGGAAAAATGGTACTTGAAAATTAATCCCAAAAACCAGTAGCCAAATTAAATTGAACACAATGATATTATCCCTTTCAACCAATAAATTCTAGCGTTTCAGCTAATGAGGAAAGTAATGAGGGTGGATATGATGAAGAAAAAGATATATGGTATGATTCATCGGAAAAAAAAAATGGATATTACCAACAACATATAATGAATTATTTCCAAAGCTTTCACCAGTAATGCAAAAAATGTGCCAATCTCATACAGTTCAGAAGGAAGAATCAGATGAATGGTTTTCATCTCTACAATATCTGAATGTTAGTATAAACGATTTATCTATTTCTGAATCATTCTTAGATCCTGGAAGTGAATTTGGAGTGATGAATAATCCAGCAATTAATGCACTTGAATAGAAAGCTGACAAGCCCTCTGACTTTGATATAAAAGGTATCTCTAAATATAGCACTGAATCATTGGGATGGTTTATAGATGTACCAGTCAGTATAAAGGATAAGGATGGTAAAACTGTTACAGCTACTGGAAATTTTACACGTATTGATAATGGTGAACCTGAACTAATGTTATGTTTAAATATGACATGGATTTGAAAAATTCAAGGTATTCTTGACCCGAATAAAAACCAATTTCGAATGAAATTATATAATAAGTCTTACATTATCCCAACTTTTAGCAAGGCCCCAGAAACATTGGATCCATTAAAAGAGAAGCAAGATTCATCGCCTCAAGTATCTATCATCTCATCTAGCTCGACTAGTGAGGAAAACTTAAAAAAAATAACTGGAACGAATATTTAGATCAATTTTTCTTTACAATGCGAGATATGTCAGGATATCGTGTTCCATCTGCTTCTTCCAATAAATGAATAAGATTATATATAGTTCCATCTCGAATATATTTTTTTAATATATGTTCGAATAAATTTCTAGACTTGAGAGCCATATCTAAACGAATTTGATTACACTCAACTTCTTTTTGTTGCTTAATAGAGTTTAATGTTTCCTGAGTAGATTCTTTGACTCGAGCATTGATTTCATCTTCAGAATTAATTACTTGTAAGTTCGGTCTAAGATTAATCTCGGTTTGATCTAAGTTCGATTTAAGATTAATTTCGGTTTGATCTAAGTTTGATCTAGAATGATCTAAGATTAATTTACTACGTCGTTGTAGATTTTTTTTCTTTGCATATTTATCAATTTTACTAATTAGCAATGACTCAATATCAGAATGAATACTACTTGTCTGTTCTTCTGACAAGGGATTATGTACTCTAGAAATAAGTCGATTCCATATATTCTTTTTTATGGAAGGAGGTAATTTTTTAAGAAGTTCTGAATAATGTTCGTGGAAATTCATTATGTTTATATAATAAAATATTCCAGGAATTCTAATATTCCATATATTCTTGGCATTCTTAGAATTATAAAAATTCGTAGAATTCTTGAAATAATTGGCAGAATTCTAAATATTATATTCTTTGCATAAAAAGCGTCTAAGATTACATGCTAGGGCTTCAAAATTAGATTCTAGCTATGAATATATTAAGGTTAGAGCTTTGTCCCAACTTTTTTCAATATATATAACAGTATATTGAGACGTGAATTGAGTATAGGTAAAAAAAGCAATCAGTTGCGAGGTATGTGGAACAAG